CGCTCTGCTCGGGATGCGGACAGGCCTCTCATGGAGCTCAGAAGTGCCCTCGAGCTCAAGCAGCATAATCCAGGAAGCCCATACAAAGCAGACGCATGGAGGTGGCATCTCGAGGCAACAGGCCTCATCCACCAATATCCAACCCTTCCGTCCGATTTTGAGCAAGGTTTTGATGTCGGAATTCCTGCTATCTCCAGAACCTTCGCACCTGCCAATAAATCATCAATTGACACCTTCTCCGAGGAATACAACCACAACGTCCAAATTGAGTTCGAACGTGGGAGATACATTGGGCCAGCTTCCTGTGCGGAGGTTGAAGCCCTCCTGGGTCCCTTCCAGACTTCTCCGCTCTCTGTCATTCCCAAGCCTGCTAAACTGGGCAAATTTCGCCTCATACAAAACCTCTCCTACCCTCTCAAAGCCATTGACGGCGTCACTTCCATCAACAGCGGCATCAACTCAAACCAGTTCCCGTGCACCTGGGGAACCTTCTCCGTCATCTGCCTTCTCATCTCGCGGCTTCCCCCAGGCTCACAAGCAGCAGTTAGAGACGTCAAGCTCGAACCATTCCCATCAAGCCCTCTCAATGGCCAGGATTGGTTGTACGACTGCGCGGTGAAGACCGTTTTGCAATTGATACCAGGAACTGCTTTGGACTTGCCTCAGGGGCAGGCTCCTATGGGATCGTCGGTGATGCTGGTGCACAGGTCATGCGAGCCAATGGAATCGGGCCTCTCTCGAAGTGGGTCGATGATCATCTCTTTTGCCGCATCCTCAAACATCACTTACCTGCTTACAATGACTTGCGCAGAGGACATCAGGAAAAATGGAGGCCGACTCCATGATGGAGGCCGCATCTGGTTCCGAGGCAGGGCAATGCCCAATGGAAAACTCGAGGAATTCGACGAAGACGCAACCTTCCTACTACAAGATCTCTCCAACAAATCTGCACGCTCAGATGAGGACAGAAAGTATACCTACTGTATGGCAGACATTGACACCCTCTGTGAAGAACTGGGTATTCCATGGGAAGCAGAGAAGGACATCCCGTTCCAGTCAGCAGTACCGTTCATTGGGTTTCTGTCCTCT